GATATCTGATTAATTTACTAAATTTAATAGCTTAAGAATAAATATATAACATTGGTCCGTCTGCATCAAATCAACAAACAAAATATATCAATAAAGGTATCATTAAAAAGAGAATAAAGTTTAGTATTTTAAATACAGACTAAAGATTTAACAATCTATCATTTTTGTGGCACAGTAGTGCACTTGACAAAAAGCACGTGCGTCACTTGGTACGTAACGTTTTGACGTCTGCCGATCGCATTCTTTGGCTTATTATTAAATCTAGTTTTGAACTATTTTTGTATTAAAGTACTTTGTATTTAATATGAACTATGGATATAACGGCTTTATAGACTATGAGAATTTTTTTGAAAAGGATCTAAGAGTAATCAGGTCCCTCTACACAGACCAAAAAGCAATCGTGAAAGTGCATCACGAGGAAACGGATGAGATCAGTATTTACCGTGGTGTTCGTCAAGGTTGTATATTGTCTCCGTTGCTATTCAATGTATATTGAATATTGTTGCTATTCAATGTATATAGTATAGTCCTAAGCAACTATATCAGAAGCCATTGAGGGGACTGCAGTTGGAGTGAAAGACGACGACACAGTTTTAATAGCTTCGTCAATGGACGATCTGCAAATGCTTACGAGTTCATGAAACTAGCGAAAGAGACGATCTGACTATTAATACAGTAAAGATGAAGGTGATGGTCTTTTCTCGAAACGACATTTATCGAAAGAAGAAAGAGAAAGGCCTAATTTATCTGTAGCTGGAACAGGTGCGGCAATAGAGGTATTTATGAACTTGGGTTACAAACGAGTGGAGTCCTGATCAGAGAATTAGTTCTGGAATTAAAATTTCCCGAGGATCTTTCAACAAAATGAAGAAAGTTATGTGCTGTCGTCACTTGACCATTAAACTCCGAGTCCGAGTTCTTCCTTGATACATTTGGCCAATTGTTCTGTACGGCTGTGAAGAAAATACCCGCCGGTGCTTAGAAGCATTTGAGGTATGGGCTATCGCCGCATGCTTCGTATAAGCTGGATCCAGAAGGTCTCTAACGAGAAGGTTCTTAAGCGAGTTGGAATGTCGAAAGGACTTGTGCGGAACATTAAACAACGGAAAGTTGCGTATCTGGGCCACGTGTTGCGCCATGACCGCTACCACCTCCTTCAATTAATTATTATGGTAAAATGCAGGGTAAACCGCGTGTTGGTAGAAGGAAGAAATCATGGCTTTGCAACGTTAGGGAGTGGACGGGTTGCGACTGCAGAAGAGTTGCTGCATCTGACATAGGTCATGACGCGCTTCAAGAGACTGACGGCCAACCTCCAGTAATGGAGAGGCACTAAAAGAAGAATGGATAGAGCAAAAGTAAGGAACCACTATTAAATTTACAAACATTACTTTAAAAATATACCATAGAGTGACTCAAGACTTTAATAGAAATAAAAGCAACGAAATATTTTTTATTATACGGCTTATTGCAACGCATACTTCCTACAGCTAGAACATTGTGCAGGATCTAAATTAAATTGTGTAAAAAGTATACGGCAATTATTAGGGGTGCGCCGGCATCCCCAGCGTCATGTTACAGGACATATCCCTATTCTTTTTGAAGTCCATCTCTTTATTTCTACTCTACTTTATTAACGTTAAGTTTTTTTAAATTTGGATAGCCTTCAGTCGTCATGACGAAGTCAATGGTTTAATTTTTATTTTGGTCGAAGCACCCTTCTTTTGATAAATTAACGTCTATTTAATAGGGAGACACTATGCGGGTTGCTAAGACATGTGGGGTTTGGATAATAGATACAAAACAGGGCATGAGACATTACAGACTATCAACGAATGATTTTTTTTCAGATATATCCAAATCAGCTGATTAGTTTTGTGTCATTGACCTTACTTATATGCGTGACGCATTTAAAAGCTTTCATGGGACAACGCCCTACACAGTAAAAGCACCGTGTAAGTTTGAATTCTATCGAGAAACTAATATATAATTCTTCTGTGAGTGTGTATGTCACTGAACTTCTCTCAAACGACTGGACCGATTTTGATGAAATTTTTTGTGTGTGTTCAAGGGGATCTGGGAATGGTTTAGATTCACAAATCAGCCCGGCAGATGGCACTGCAGTCGGTACTTTCATACTTTGCTTAATATCCTAATCGCTTTAAATATCATGCAGGACAACGTCTGTGGGGTCCACTAGTAACTTATAAAAATGCCAAGTTTCACGATAATAAGTAGATATAAATTGTTCATAAGTGAAAAGAAAATCTAAAACAACCTATATTACGCAGTTAATTATCAGTTAAAGCCGCAAGTAATTTTTCGTTCATCTGGAAGACCAGAGGAGAGCCCAAGAGGGCTGAGATTTTTGTTTCGTGCTTTTTACTGAACTGACAAGTAGGTGTTCCGCCCGCCGTCGAATTCTTGATCTAAGGCATAGCGATTTACAGGGAGTTTTAAATGCGAATATAGAAAATGAATTCGTTGATGCACAGCAGTGATTCAAACGCACAAGCTCAGGATTGAGTCGCCCGCTCAACCCACTAGATCAAGACTCTTCAGCCGTCACTAAGTAACACTCCTAGCATTAAACAAATTACTACGACAATTATCGTCGTTCTGTGATAAATGTTCGTGAAATGAAAGGATAATGTCACGCCTAGAAATCATTACTGCGAAGTTCAAAGTAACTTCTGTTAAAAGCTGTCATATGTCAAAGTTATGCATACCTTTCGTATAACAAAAGCACGTAACAACTATTCAGGTATACAATATACATTTACATTCAATGTCAGGTCACGTATAACGTTGCATCGTGTGATCGTGTCTATTTACCGTGAAATGTGCTGTTATTCTTCTCATAACCAGATTTTAACTTTTTACGTTTTATGATTCCAATGTCTTTTAAAAACTGTAGATAGTTGTCTATATTCTGATTGACTACTGTTTAAAGTAACGAACAGATTCTTAGTTCTTTCTTATTTCGTCACATCGTAAATATAATTAGGCAGAAAGGGACGATTGAAAGTCGAGCTAGCCACTCCTAATTGTTAAGTATATAGGCAAGCCTCATTTAATTTTATTGATTCACTTTTTTCGGACCATCAAACAGTACTAGAAAGTTCCTTCCTAATAATGGTTTTATTTTTTTAATGGGCACAGAGTGTGAGAAAATTTGTCTTTGAAAATTACATAATTTAAATGTGTCAAAAATAATAAACTTATGAAACTTACCTAGCTATTAAATGTTTTTACATGAATTGAAAACTTACAACATCTTTTATCAAGTATTTACAATTACTAAATTTAGATTAGTTAAAGTTGATATTATTGAAAATGACTGTTATCTTTGACATATACCAATTAGTTATCACACCTTTATACACCATTATCGGAACTTTGTTTATTTCACACAAAAATATAAAAATTCAATTTCATTACAAATCACAGTATGTTATAGGAAATAATTTCAGTGTAACACACAAGCATGCAGAATAGATATATCATTGAAACTAAATGTCTTAACAGTCCTAAGGTAACCCATGATATTTACTATATACTCGTATATATGAATCATCTTGTTTGCCTTTTAAAGGGACCTTATTTACAAATAAAGGCTGGAAACTCTTAATCAAAGAAAGTGGCTCCTAAAGAATAATCTTATCTCATAACAATGTATGATAATTCAATGATTATCAGAAACCAACCTACAGTAAATGGAACTTTCCTGCTATACAAATACATTAGACATGATCATGGAATTGACATTTCAATTGGCCAGAATATATAAAAAAATATGCCCATTCCAAAAATATAGTTTAATGATGAAATATTTTTTAAGAAACACTTAATTAAAAAAGAAAATTCAGTTTTCATAAGTTTATGGATATTGGGCCCCTGGGGTCAGTGTAAACAAAAATTAGTTTATTGTGAGAAAAACCAAATTTAAATCTCAGGTTCTCACGCATTAGTATAAATATAATTATTAAATGAATCAGAAATTACACTGTTCTTCAAGGATTTTCCTCATTGTCGATACTCTTGTTATTATTATGGCAATATAAAATAACAGAACTAATTATTACTTCTGATCACAGTATTTTAACTAGACTTCTGGGTCCTTATTTATACACAACCTTGATGTGTAAAATCACAAAAACTTACATAAATTAATCAACTATATAATTTTAAATATTATTCTACGACTACTTTAATCAAATAAATGTTTTATTTAAACATGTTTTACATATGTAGTTTATTTGTAGACTTAGGAAGATGTATCAAAATTGATCATTCAGATTCCTATAATATAAAATAAATATTTCAGGTGATTTTCCATTATTTAAAGAAAAAATCAGTGACCAAAGCATTACGGACAAAAGTTTAATTAAATTAATAACAATTTAATGATATTAATACTAAGATGTTTATATGGTATATTGTTTCATCAAAAATCAAATACTTAACTCTACGCAAACGGACAAATTCTAAAAACACACTTGTTTTAATTGTTTTACATACAGCACTGTTTCCTTAAACTATTACTGTTACTGTAATGACTAATACAGCTTCATTTTATTACTACATAGGGTACATGAATCATCTATATCAGTAATAATAACAAAGTTTAAGAGGCTACATACTATACTATGGAATTGTTACTTATGTATAAGTTACTTATAAAATATAAACATAGCTACTGGCTGGTTTCCAAGCAAGTCAAATGACATCTAATATAAATCAGATAGCTGAAGACTTGTAATTAATTCTTAATTACATACCAGTATCCTGTCATTGAAAGATACTATAAGACTATAAGACTACCTATATCCGTCACAATGACTGATTCTAGGTTTAATAGCTATAATTAAAGCTCAATAAAACTATTATTTTTAATTACCGATTGGGATATGAAATTTAACTTCTATGATTTTTTATATAAATCTACCGACCTAATCTAATGACCTCCACTCACAAGAATACAAGACGTATTAGTCAGCATGCTACAAAAAGGGATACTTTATGAGATAAAAAAAGAAACCACTTTGTAAGACATTACATGAAAAGAAAAGATTTTACTTACATTTGTTTACGCAGCAATTTGATATTTAGACACACACACTGTAATGTTATACGATAAGGTCATGTTTTATCGAGAAAATAAATTTAAAATTACCACATAACTGCAATTGTACATAAAATATGTATAATGTTAAATGACAGAAATACTAAGTGGAAAAAGACGTCTGGATTGGATGGAAGATGCACAGTTTATTATTTAACATCTGACGCTAGATGGCACGGCTGAGAATAATTCATAGACTATAGAGTGAAAATTTGAGGGAACACCTAAAAGTAGACTTCTAAAACAAAAAGATTATTGAATTAATGTTTTTTTTTATATAATGTTTGTACTCATATTGCAATTATTCATAATAATTAATTCTGTTAACCCTTAATTTGGTATTGTAGCTGTGCCAACAAACTTTAAAACAAAAAAGTGAAAGAAATATTATGATTCAAATTATTATAAACATATTCTCATAAACTAGTCACACTTTATAAAAAAAAGTTTTGAGTGCTAGCAACACTAGTGCTGTCACTTTTTTCAAAATGTCTGCCCGAAAGAAGCCGGCTGTGTTCACTAAGGAAATTGTTTTATTACTGTTTCCTCGTAAATTTCTAATAAAACGCTAATAATTCGATCGTGACATATAGGAAGGTTCACTGATATAATTTTGGCAATATTTGTGGATTTGTTGTTTTATTTGATAATAAACTTTATGCCATGACAACATTGCCAACTAGTAATGAATTACTGCAAACGAACCGAGTCACAACAACATTGCCAATATTTGATTTCTTTTTGTGAATTTTTTGCGATTTATGGGTTTTTTGTTTGCTTGAGCTTGAGTTTTGGTGTATGCAAGCTTTTTTCTTTACAGTTCGCGCTACTAACACGGGTGGTAGAATTTAGCTTTGATCCCTACTGAAAATGCACTCTCTGATGATGGAAGCACTGACGTCGAGATGAATTATTGGGCGCTCAAATTTCGCATTCAGACCATCTTCCCCAGCCCCATCTATTGCGAGTTCCTTAGAAAGACTGAAAATAGATTCCGATGATGAAACCCAAGCGAGAGAAGTTCGGCTTACACCTGTATTCCAAGAAGTAACCCGAACCACACTTGAGCCCGATTGCAGCAATATTCCGATAATAAGGACATTCCAACCCCTGCCACGCCTGAACCCTGCCACGCCTGCTACTCTAAATCCTGCATCTCAGTCGCTTCTGCATCACAAGTTCGCCTGCACAACCTTCAGTGTCCATACCTAGCACCCCCACTACATCCTCTGCATTACCAACTAGAAAAACGCGACGAAAAGGCCGACGATTCCTGTTGCTAAACGGTCACGCAGAATCCAAAAGCGGTCTGTGCTATAAGTGGAAAAGGGCTGCTGTTTTTCGACGCAAAGGAACTGTGGAAGATATACCAGAAATCGATCCAGACACTAACTATTCCTTTGGACTATTTTTCCAAGTTTTTTTCCCAAGATGTTATAACTGACATTGTAGAACAAACAAAGCGATTCAGTGGAAAAAACCGGACGGTCGATTGAATTAGTTGAGACGAACTTCGAGATTTTCTGGCCATTCACATTATCATGGGGGTCGTGTCCATGCCTTCATATACAGACTATTGGAGTCTGCAATATAGATTCGGTTAGTTGCAGATCTAATGCCCATAAAAAGGTACCAAAAAATTCGAAGATACCTTCATTTCGTCGACAATAGCACTGAAATAGTGACAGATATCACAAGGTTGGGCCCATAGTTGAAAAAAAAGGCAATTGTTTAGCCAAGAAGTCGAGACCAAGTTCAGCATCGACGAAATGATGATACCTACAAAGGGACTAAGGCCGGCAAGAGACGCCAATATATGAAAGACAAACCCAATAAATGGGGTCAAAAACTATGTCAGAGCTGGAGTATCAGGTATGATCTACGATTTTATTCTGTACGGAGGAGAGGACACTTTCAGGTTCCATAATTTCTATGAGAGAGTTTCTGGGTTACTTCCAGCGTTTATGCCAATCACAGTGATGCAGAGCCATTATACCAGCTACTTTGATTTGATAATGTATGTCCACAACTCATTTTTATAAAGAGGTTTGATTTATGTTTATTTTTAATTAAAGTTATAATACATACTTATGATTTTTTTTCTTACTGTTTTTGGTAGGTATGTCCCAACATACATTCAAAGAATACAATTCATTACCCACTTGGCAATGTATGTAGTAGCAACAGCTTTTTCAGGAAAACTGAAAACCCTAGATTTTTATAATTTTCTGGGCATATTTAGGCTCTACACATTCCTATTTCAGTATTTGTTTCAATTCACAATGGTTTAATTTTTTTGCCAAATAAAGGGTTAATGGACACAAACGTTAAATCATCAATGGTATTTATGTAAATGTAATTTTGTAAACGTAAATGAATATTTAAAAATTAAAAAGATAAAAATACCTAAAGTTTATGAGGTCATTCAAAAAAAAAATAGAAAATCCTGATTATGAAAGCGTTGAGAAAATGAAAATGTTGAATTTTTAGCAAACAATATAAAATTGTTTGTTTTGTAAAATTTTGCTTTGTAAACAAGACAAAATATATTTATTGTATCCCCATACATTGTAGGTACAAGATAAAAAAAAAACAGAAATGAAAAAGTCAAAAGTGCAACATCAAAAATTTATCTAAACGTAATAATTTTATAAACGTATCGAACGAAAAGTGATATTATTTCTATATTTTTTCCACTATAGTCCCTTAAAAACAAAAGAAAAATTATAACAATATGAAATAAAATTTTAAAGAAAGAAAAATCTTATTTATGAATATGAATTTCCGCCTGCTTCATTTATGATCTATTTTTTTTTTTTCATTTTATTTGAAGTAAATTTCTAGGTGTTAGGCTTTGTTGTAGACCTAAAAAACGGAATTACCCTGGAAATCAATTCAGTATGTACTTGGTATTTCATTATTTTATAAAGGAACAATGAGAAAAGGAAGGACAGAAGTAGTCTAGCGTAAAGTATTCATTTTACTTGATTTATAATTAATGCGTACAGAACTGAACATTAACTTGTTTACAAGCATGGTACGTCACAAGGGACCAGTGTGACTCCATCTTGCAAGAAGACTTTCGACGGCGGATTCTTAAAATTATTAATGTTTAATTTGAATTATTAAAGACGATATTAATCAGAATCTAAAATTATATTTGGTACAGGCTTACAAATTATTTAAAATGGGTTTTAATATATTGTTAGTGATTTCATAGAATAAATATTTTCTTATTCAATAATCATTCTTGTTAGATTTTTTGTTTTCAAATTCTGACAACACTTAAAAATTTCAGTTGTTCCGACATATACGTATAGCTAATGTTTTCTATCTATTATAATAATAATAATAATAATAATAATAAAAGCCCTTTATTCACTGACCTTTTTAACTTACATGCTTTTCTTATTTAACAGTCGTATTCTTAAATCTTTTAAAATTTACATAGCGAAAATAATAATTTATTACCACGTTGGTTAGGTTGTCTGTCGTCATAGGCCTCCCTCAATTATTGGGGAAGACAATCGTGGCAACAATTATTGTTTCCACGTCTCTCAATCCTTGGCAGACCTTCTCCATCCTTTTAGTAGATCGTCCTCCCACCATTTTAATTTGACCTCCACGTTTTCTTTTTCCGTTCCTCGGATACCGCTCTATTACATCCTTAGTCCATTTTTCTTTGTTTGTCCTCATTATATGTCCAGTCCATTTAAGCTTTCTTATTTTTTTATCACGTCACTGACGTTTGTTTATTTTATATTTTTGAATCCGTATTCTTATATAAAGCATTCTCCTTCGCTGCGTTGACAAACTAGTAGCTTTTGATTGTTTTTGCTCGTCGTAGGCCAAGTTTGATATCCATAAGTAAGACATGGTAATTTGGTTTTCATTGCCATGGGAATTGTTTTATTTTTAACTATTTCTTTTAGAGACCAGTACCGTTTCCAAGTGTTGTATATTCTTCTATCTATTTCATTAGAATACTGGTCTTTCGATTTGTTTAGATTTATAAGTTTTTTTTTCAAAATATTATACTTCTCTTGCAATATTTGAGAATCTTTCATTCCATTTAATGTTGTTCTAGATCATTCAATATATTTTGTGGTATTAGGGATGTCATTGTTTTGTTCATGGTTGAGTGTATAGTATGTTTTCTTGATTTGTTGTTTCTGTCTTGAATAACTCCTCTTACCATTCTATAATCTGTATTAAAATTTAACTTATTAAGTACTTCAATGTCATTAAATATATTTTTTCTCTAGTAAGTATAAATTCAATTTCATTTATATCTATGCCAATCGGTGATAACCATGTCCTGAAATGAATAGATTCTACAAAAAACTATCTATTATGCTACTTTTTGAACAAACATATTTTTATTTAAATGTATTTTCCATTATTTAATAATTAAATACTATGTTAATTTTATTTAAGACTTACGGTACTTCATACATTTATTTATAAGTTCTTAAACATGCATGTTACATGCTTAAAAATACAAATTTGGCGCATATATTACTTTTAATTTCTATATTCCTATAATTTTCCCGAAGGGGTAGGCAGAAATCACCGAATCTCCGCCTGACATACCTCTCTCGTTTCATAGACATTCGCCATTCACCATGCATGCTCGTCGGTTACAACGTCCTTCTTCTTCGTCCTTCGTTATTGATGTATAATTTCATATAAGAACAAAAAATAGGAACAAAATAAGAAATAAGATCGTTCACTATATCCATAAAAGTTATAATATATTATTGATTAAAATGCATTACGCTTCACATTTTACCTAAATAATATTTTATTAGGAGTTCCACAACAATTAAGTATTTTTAGTTTAACGCCATCTGTGATAGTAGACACGGTTGTCAGTAATGGCAACACCTCTCTCGCTCGCACTCATGTACTCCGCGCCTCTCTGCGCAGTCGGACGGTTCAATGACTTTGTGGGACCAGTTTCTATTTTCTCTCTGGTTCTGTCGTCGGGCCGACACGCAAGGAAGGGGGTCTTTGTTTGCGTATCACATTCGCGTTGCACGGTATCATCACTGACGGCTCCTTCGCAGTGCCCGAGACGGAATGTGCCGTGAGTGGAAGCGTCGTTCTCGCTCCAATCGTTTGTGAAATGTGTTGTAGTGGTTCAGGGTGGCGCCGTCTAATAGTGCAAGTGCAGTGAGGTGCAGTGCTGTGTTCGAGCGAGCGTGGGTCGGTACGGCCACGGCGACCGAAGTGCGTGGAGGTGGCGGTGGCCGCTCGGCCATGACCGGCGATATGCCTTTAGGGAGCGCGCACGCGTTCGGGCGTGCGTTGCTCCGGGATGGGGCGCTGCCGCCGCTGGAGCCCGGGCCGCCCGCTCCGCCCGCGACCAACGCGCAGCCGCCCGACAAGCGCCCACCGGCCGCTGCTGCAAGTCCCGAGCAGGTCATGAAGCTCTACATGAACAAACTTACCCCCTACGAACATAGAGAGATATTCGATTACCCCCAAGTGTACTTTATAGGCGCGAACGCAAAGAAACGACCTGGCTTGGTCGGCTTTCCTAATAACTGCCAGTACGACAATGAGCAAGGCTCCTACATCCACATACCACATGACCACATCGCGTATCGCTATGAGGTACTGAAAGTGATCGGTAAGGGTAGTTTTGGCCAAGTAGTAAAGGCGTACGACCACAAGAAGCGAGAGAACGTTGCACTGAAAATGGTCAGGAATGAGAAACGTTTCCACAGGCAGGCTCAAGAGGAGATTCGTATATTGGAGCACCTCAGGGAACAAGACAAAGATAACACGATGAATGTGATACACATGTTCGATTCGTTTACGTTTAGAAATCACACATGTATAACGTTTGAATTGCTATCCATAAACCTGTACGAGTTGATAAAGAAGAATAAGTTCCAGGGTTTCTCTTTGCAACTCGTCCGCAAGTTTTCACACAGCCTGTTACAATGTTTGCACGCGTTGAACAAAAACCGAATTATACACTGCGATATGAAGCCCGAAAATGTGCTGCTGAAGCAACAGGGACGCTCCGGAATTAAGGTTAGATACATTTATTTTATCATACTAGTAAACAAATAAATACATCACTAAATCCCATTACTTTACCCGACAACAAATTGAAATTACTTGTTTTGATCACTTGTTCGTGGCCTGGGGCTAATTGGCTCCAGGAAATCGATAAGCGTTTGTTTTTAACATCTGCGTTCGGATCAGCTGACCACACCCCGAGTTCTTTTTATAAATCTACATAGCTTAAATTAATCCTTGGACAGTTTTACTTATTTTTATAAATTGGCCAAGAAATGCCAGTAATTGTGAATACTAATCCAAGGCAATTAATATTCACGAAATTTCTAGGTTTTAATAAATGTTCGGAACCTAGACTTAAGACTAGATCTTTATTTAATATTGTTTATACTAAATGATATTAGATAGTTTTAAATCCCCATAATCGACGATGTTAAATGTAAATCTTGAGCGTTAACTGCGGGTTCTATTTTAAATTAAAGCCGACACGCGATCTAGGAGTTTTATTTACGTCAACGTTGAAGGTTTGTCAGAAATTGGAGCCAATGTCGTGATTGCATATATATGCACGTGAACATTCAACCGCTCACCAGCAAAAAGTTTTGACCTATAACTTTTAAAATATTGGTTTACTTGACCGTTGAATTATGAATAAATTTAAGAACTTACTTGGTGCAGGTATCGGTGAGACATTTAATTAATTGAAATCAATGGAATCAATAGGAATGGGGAAAGGCTTAATACAAATATTTTAATTCGATTCACCGCGACATTGAATTCGCGCGTTATATATAAGTGTTAATGAACTAGAATCGTCCATATAGTAACAGTGATTTGTCTACACAACCGAGAGAGGTTGTATGAACCCCTTGTTTTATCACATTAGGGGATGTACAGAATTTCTTCCGCAGTTGTTTATTATACACATGCAATAACTTTAAATTTAAATTTTATTGGTATAGCTCTGCGAAAACGGATCGATCAGATCAATATTCATATCAACTTACAAATTTAGTCGAGTGCGTGTAAATTTTGTATATTTAGCAAAAGTATCAATAAGCTTTGCAATTGTCGTCACTTCGGAAAAAATATGTTCAGTTTTATAGTTATATTATACTTTCAAAATTAATTTGTTAAATAATAACTTTGTTTACACAAGTGAGCCCTACTTGGATGTCATCTGATAATGCAACTCGATAAGATAATCATTATTTTTTCCACACGTCAATCGACACTCGTTTAATAAGGTCGACACAAATTATTAAAACAAAATGACTTAGTCTATAGTTTCTTTGTCTTTTATTATTTGTGTTTATCTAATATGACACAAAATTATGTTGCTAAGCGCAAAATTCGAAGACGGCTGGACCAATTCGACTAATTTATTTGATGGAAAGAACTCAGCAAGGTTTTTATGAAGTGAAAAATTTTAAAAATATGAAATGGTTGCTATGTACTCAGGTTTTTTTTTCGGAAAAGCGAACAGTCTCTTTAGGGTACTATAGCAAAAGGTTCCATTTGTTGGTATGTAGCTACTAAAAAGACTAAGTCAAAAAAAAATTAAGGCACAGCGAAGTTCACGGTGGATGTGAACTTTGTTTGGAATAAAATATATGGAGTTAGAATTATCTTTAATTATTTATTGAATAATTAACGACAGTAAAGGCGTCGTTACATTAATATTGCTACAGTAAACTAAGGCGTTTTACCTGTACGTAACCGCTTTATTCCCTCGTGATAATTTAATGTTTAGTACATTTCTTCGGCGACGGTAAGTAGCGGTAGTTTCTTTTTAAACCGGTTACTGTTCAGGCTGCTTGAGAAACTTGACTTCTTTATAACGTCTGTGGTCTATTTAATACTTAAAGCGGTGTTTGACAAAGAAAAATGCAAATTACTTAGAAATATGGATTGTATGTATTTTTTATCCGTACTATCGTAGAATATTTATCGAATTTTGGTATAGACAATGGAAAGTCAATATTATTTTATATTTAAATTTATGATGTAATATAATATATGTAGAGACAGTATAATTATTATTAGGATTTAGGGACAGTTTCAGTATAATTTTCACTTTAAAATGTGTGATATTTGCGTAAATGACAGTATTCTAACGACGATTCCATTAGAATCACACGAGCTCAATGGTCCATAGAAGCATATCAAAGGGTTTAAATAAATCCGAGTTAAACGGATCTTTTGAAGTTTATTCAATAGCGGGTTTAAACCAACGCGGCGGTTTGCGGCCCGGAGCATTGTACACACGTTTAAAAGGTTTGGTAATTTTAACTGAGTTTATCTAGACCTAGGTTGATTTATATGATGGAGCAACTTAGAAAATTACGAATCGATAGTATTTAATTTTAATATAAAGTTTATTTTTATTTTAGATAGGATATAATCAGTAATAACTCTGCAATTTAATCCTACTCTACTTTAAAGTGGATTTTAGTTTCTCTTAATAACCGATAAACGGATTTTTTCTCACGCTAAAATTGAACCAAATTTTTTTTAAACATTTGTAGGGATAATATTCCACAAAGATTTAGTTTAAGTCTTCAACACTTCTGACATCGAAGAACAGTCAGGTATAAAGGTGGCGTTCAGTATAATATCTCATAATATGTTCAACAAAACTACGGGCTGAATTTTTCGTTTGCAGAATCAATTCTCGATTAAACTTCAAAACTGTACTTTTAAAATGACCTGCTGACACAAAAACTGGCTAACACATGTTTGCAAGCTGGTAAATGTACCTGTCTCTTTTCTGTTCACTCTGAATGAGAGAGATAAAAAATCTTTTGTTGCAGCCGGTTTGGGACGTTTCGGGTTTCTTTACTATGATCCAGATTTCTCGGTACCTGCTCTGAAAAATATTTTTGACAAAAAGTCGTCTTTTTTGATATGTGGGTTACTCGTTTCCACTGTATGTAAAGCAGACATTCAATATGGTTCAAACGTTTTATTTACATAGACTTCGTTAAATAGGTTATCGAAAAGGTATTTTTAATTTTATATATAAGCTCGTTTAACTAAGAAACCCTTAGCTTTATAATATCAATTAAATCGCTCTTACAAGCCTTCTGGATCCCACAGACACTTGCAATAGGGTGGGTGGTGACTGGTGGTGGACTGATACTGGTTAGCATTTGACTCTTGACCTGCCTCCTTGTTTGCCCTATGTTCCATTAGAAAAAATGCTACGACTTGGTATAAACTTAATAAAAAAACCCGTCTTTGTATCGCTCTAAAACCGAGAGAAAATACGAGTAGTAACAATAATCATTGTTGAAGTATTTCTTACATTGTTTTAGATTTTCAATAGAATATTTTAAAAGAAAAAATGATAGAATTTATAGCTATAAAAAAAATGATTTATTCGACTATATGGAAAACGTTTTTGCAAATCATCGTATAGCGAAAGCAATCGAATTTTATGTTAAGATCCGGTATAAAGAACCGTTATATATAAATATTCTTTGCATATGTTTGTAATTGAAATCCTAAACGGCTGGACTGATTTTGATGAAATTTTTGTGTGTTCAAGTGGATTCCAGAATGTTTAGATTTAGGGATGTTTTTTTAAATAGTTTCTATTGATTTTATTAGTAATTGTGGAATCGAAAACTTTAAGTTTATTTTTTTTGTGTTTAGAACGTGTGTACAAGACAGCATCTGTCGGGTCTGTTAGTATATATATAACCGGTTTCTTTGAACCCTGACAGGCACCAATTAATAAGGTTAGAGGCAACACAAAAGAAAAGGAAAGATAAAATTGAGCGATCTCTAAAATACAATCTAGGTAAATTGTATGGAAAATTGTTTAAGTCTTAGAATTATTGTAAAGTTATTCTAAGAATTTCCCTTCTGGCAATTTGATAAACCACGATAATGACATAAAAGCACTCATTACCACCGCGGAAACAATCGTTCAAACTCGACTATCGACAATAATTATGCACTAATGGGATATTTTCCTGTATTTACTTAAGGCCTCTTAAACATCCCAACATTAAAAATATACCGCAACTACTTCTATAAAGGTTTTATTTACTAGTGGTAAATAAATATGAAGAATTACATATAATTGGTCTTTTACAAACAGTTAATTAGTAAGGATTTTTTTATAAGCTACGTATATAATATTTTCTACCATTAATAATATTATATTGTTAGCGGACTAACGCCATCTTGTAGCAGAAACCTATATAAAGCATGGCAACACCGGCGTTGACTCACTTTTATTTCTAGACTTCGTGCGGAACGGACTTGTTACTAACCTAACCTCAGTAGATTTTAAAAGTCTGAAGTACCTACACGTTATAATCTTTTTGTGTTTCCTAATATCAGAATTGGGATTTGAACTTTTCGCTCACTTCTCTTTTGTTTTGTTTTGAGTAATCTTTGTGGTTTAAATTTTCCTTCTCTTTGTGTCCGTAATGTACGAAGTCACAAGTGATTAACATTTTAAAAGTGCTCTTTGTGTTAAAATGTTGTTTGTGTTTGTGAGTGCAACAGTGTCACATTAAATTCGGGATCGTCTAGTCAGCAAGGTAGACGAGAGATGCTTTGACAGAGGACGGCCGAACGGTTGAAGAACAGTCAAATCAATCAGGACACTGTCGTTAATGTGGGTCGTAGACCCCCCCTTGTAAATTCCAGAAGGATGATCTGGTCTTTGTTATTAAGAACATGCAAAGGTATGGGTTTCTGTTTTAAATTTTTGTGGTGCTAATGTGTTTAGACCACTTTGAGAACATACAAGTGTATGGGTCTCTGTTTTAAGTTTTTCTGGTGCTAATGTGTTTAGACCACTTAGAGAACATGCAAAATGTATGAGTCTCTGTTTTCAAAAATTGTCGCTTATGAGAGCACTAGGAGCCTGTCGATACGACGGTGTATTGCAAATATACTGAGTTTTATCTTTATTTGTGTTAAGTCTGAAGCTATCTAATTCTGTAATATTTGCTTTTTGAAAGATCAATGGACAGGGTAACCAGCCCCAAACTCACGATCTTCCTGTATAAATGGTAAAAAGATCAATGGAC